CCCTTCTCAAGTAATTCTGACAGCTGTGACTGGAGCTCGTCCATCTCTGGTTTCGGCAGGCGGTAGGCGGGTCGAGACGGTGGTCTGGCTCCATCTTCTATCTGGATTTCATGGTCGACTGGTCTCTTCGGTGGAAGCTCATTCGGCAGCTCGTCTGGAAATAAATCCTGGTACCTCTTGAGCAGGTTCTGGATGTCTTGTTGCTCTGATTCCTGGAGTTGTGGCCCGGAACGATTCTCCTCGTTTGCAGCAGTGACCCATGCAAGAAACCCCTCGGCTCCACTCCTCAGGGCATGACGAGCTTGTCGGCCACTGATAAACATGCTTTCCACAGATGGCCGGTCGGCTGTCGGCGGGTTAGCTGAAGGCAATTTGGCAACAAAGGGCTCACCGTCCAACTGAACTTCGTTCGTACGGAAGTTGATGCTGGGGTTGTTCCTTGTAAGCCACGGCTTGCCAAGAATAGCGTCGTAGCGAGTCAGGGGATACACAGTAAAGTGCTGTTCCTCACTGAAGCCCCCGACTGTCACCCTTAGCGTGCGTGTGGAAATCTGCGGGACCTCGCTGGTCGAGCCGTCCGCCAATGTTACGCTCAGCACTGCTGAGCTTGCATCCGTGTCAAGATGATGCTTTCGAACAAAACTGTCTGCAATGAAGTCATGCGTCGAACCGGAATCTATCAGCATCACTGCACGGCGACCGCCGATCTTTCCCTGTATGCGCAGTAGGTCGTGTTCAGGTTCATTGCCGACGCTGACGTTGCTGACATGACACCTTTCTGCAACGGGACAATTTCCTACAGCTATGGGTGTCTCCGGCTCCGTAGGTTCCTGGAGAGCAACGTCTTCAACCTCCAGAGCTCCGAACCGGTTAGCGACTGGTACCGGCGTGGGTGCTTGGGTCGTCGCCAGTAAGCGCACCCCCTTTCTTACTGGCGACCAGCGTTTGGGTAGCGCTGTCCACCCTCAGTACAGTCTTTAGCGAGGTGGCCTGGCTTCCTGCAAGCAAAGCAGTGTCCCATTGCTCGCAGTTGGACACGCTCTTGGTCCGTCAGCTTGCGGAGGCCCTGACCACGGAAGCTGGGCACGGAACGCGACTCTCTACTGGCTGGTGGCCCCGACGCCGGTGGCCCTGACGACTGCTCCACGGTGTTTGCTGCCATGACAGCTTGCTCCAGGGTACGTGGATGCTCACGCATGACCTGTCGCTGGATGTGCGGCACTAGACCCCTGACGAACAGCAGCGCTCTGGTGTGGTGGTCGATTTCCGGCACTTGCAGGCTGAGGCGAGTGAAAGCAGCAATGTATGCGTCCAGCGACCCGCGCTGCGCTGCGGAAATTAGTCCCATACGCGATGTTTCCTCGTTGTGCCGTGGTCCGTACACATCGCCAAGTGCCGCTTTCAGAGCAGGCCAGTCGGAAAACACTTGGTTAGCTTCCAATGCCGCTATCAACCAAAGACGAGCGTTTCCAGTCAAAAATCCTGCCGCGTAGTCGACCCTCTGTGCCGCATTTGGGAGTGCCAACGACCGTAGGGCCATGTCCATTGCAAACGTCCATTCTTTGAATGTAGCGGAATCTCCTCCAAACACAGGCGGCTCTTTCGTAAGGCGGGGTGTTGGCTCCCACGGTTCCGAGTTCGGATGTATCGTTCGGTTTCCTTGGCTAACGCGCTGAGCGGTCTTGATATCGTTTATCAGCCGAACGACGAGTACGAGGAGCGTAAGCAGAGCGACCAGAACACCTGCCAAAAGCAGAGTAGTAACCATCCTCTGCTACCAGTGTAACAGGTTTAATCAAACTTGAAAAGTAAGAGGCCTGGTTGAGCGTGCCTCGACCAGTTATATGCAAAATGTGATAGTATACATGTGGCAATGGCGCCAATGAAGGTGCTAATAGACAGGCGTAAGACGCATGAGGTGCGAGGGAGTGTAAAGTTATAGAGAACAGGGGAAAACTGTTACACCATCAATCAAGCCCCGAGGCGTTTGGCCCCTACCAAGGCAAATGAAGTACGGAAACACGTGCAAGACATGTTAGATAATGATGTAGTAGAGCCCAGTGCCTCCCCTTGGTCTAGTCCAGTGGTTTTAGTAGCCAAGTCTGATGGTTCTACCCGATTTTGCGTAGACTATCGGAAGCTGAATGCAGTGACACTGAAGGATGCCCATCCTCTCCCAAGGATAGATGATACCCTAGATCATCTTTGGGGTGCCCACTTTTTCAGTACTTTAGATCTCCAAGCTGGGTATTGGCAAGTGCCAATGGCCGAAGATTCTAAAGAGAAGACTGCTTTCAGCACACCCGATGGCTTATTCCAATTCACGCGAATGCCCTTTGGCCTGACCAATGCTCCTGCCACTTTTCAGCGACTCATGAATGCAACCCTCCGCGGCTTGACATTTGACGCCTGTCTGATTTATCTAGACGATGTCATCATTTTTTCTAGTACCTTTGACGAACACCTTGACCGTCTCCGTAAAGTCTTGTCCGCTTTACGTCGAGCTGGGTTGAAGTTGAAGCCCCGTAAATGCAAGCTTTTGAGACAGACCGTACCCTACCTTGGTTTTCTAGTCTCATCACAGGGCATTGCTGCTAACCCTGAGAAGTTTGCCCCTGTTGTTTCTTGGAAGCCCCCCCACCACAGTTAAAGGCATTCGTGTTTTTCTTGGCTTCACTGGCTATTACCGCCGTTTCATTGAGAACTATGCTGAAAAAGCTTCCCCACTTGTTGCATTGACCAAGAAAAGTGCTAAGTTCGTGTGGAATACCGAACGACAGGAGGCTTTTGAGGCGTTGAGACAGAACGTTATTCAAGCACCTGTATTGGCATTTCCCAATTTTACTCAACCTTTCATTCTGGACACTGATGCTTCCAATTTTGGCCTCGGTGCTGTCCTTTCACAAATTGACAGTGCTGGTTTGGAACGCCCCATTGCATTTGCTAGTAGGTCTCTTTCCAAGACGGAGTGCAACTACTCTGTTACCCGCCGGGAATTGTTAGCAATTGTCTGGGCCACCCACCATTTCCGTACTTACCTTCTGAGCAGCCACTTTCTGTTGCGTACAGACCACTCTGCTTTAACCTGGCTTAAAACTTTTACATCTCCCGAAGGTCAAGTAGCGCGATGGAATGAGCATTTGGCAGAGTATGATTTTCAAATTGAACACCGCCCTGGTGCCCGGCACGCAAACGCTGATGCTCTTTCCCGAATAGACTTCGATCAACCGGCAGGTGCGATTTTATCCACGGCCGATGAGGTTCTTTCGGATGCCCACGTGCGTGCCGTAACTGTAGATCTAGATGACAGTGACTCCGATCTCTGGCAGAAAGCCGTAGCAGATGACCCCGACATCAGTGTAGTCGTCAAACGCTTACAAGATGCCCGAAGTACCGAAAATGATGAACCTTGTGCAGTTATTCTCCAGGGGGATTCAAATACTGTCCGTACTTTGTTAACCCAACAAAGCAAACTTACTATTTCCAATAATATTCTTTACCGTACTATTGATGCAACTCTGGATAGGGAGTCTTACAAACAACTGGTTGTCCCTACCTCCTTACGTGACCGGGTACTTGCCTTAGCCCATGACCACCCCTCCTCTGGTCATTTTGGAGTCGATAGGACCCTAGCCCGCTTACGTTTAACGTGCTACTGGCCCAATATGTCAACTAGTGTGGCTTTGTATTGCCGCAACTGTAATGTCTGTGCAGTGTGTAAGAACCCTCGGCCACTGCCTCGAGCGGGCATGTCTCACGTAAAAGCTGGCGAGCCGTTCGAAACCATTGCACTGGACATTATGGACCCTTACCTTCCACTTCCAATAATAATAAGTATATTCTCGTCATTGGGGATTACTTTACCAAATGGCTTGAGATCATTCCATTACCCAATATTACTGCCCAAACCGTTGCCGTGGCCTTAGTTGAGCGAATTTTTGTACGTTTCGGTGCTCCTGAGAAAATCCATTCCGACCAAGGATCACAATTTTGCTCACAGCTGTTTCTAGAATTGTGCAAACGGTTTGATGTGAAAAAGACTCGGACAACCCCGTACCACCCAATGTGTGATGGCATGATTGAACGCGCTAACCGCACGATTCAAGTCATGCTCCGAGCTTTCATTGATTCAGCTGATTGTGATTCTTGGGATGAACGGTTGCCGCTGGCACAACTGGCCTACAATACGAGTGTGCATAATTCCACTCACTATACCCCATTCTTCTTACTGTTCGGAAGGGAGGCCCGCCTGCCCCTAGATTTGTTATGCCCCACCCCAGACCCTACACCTGTCACTTTCAGCCCCACCTCCTATGTTATCCGTTTGAGGGAACGTTTAGAGGCGGCCTATAGGTTAGTCAGAGAACATTTGGATGTTGGCCACCGCCGTGCTAAGACCAACTATGATCTGAAGGCCAATGCCGATACCTTGAAAGTAGGACAGTTTGTTTGGCTTTACCGGCACCCCCAGGCTGGTGACAGTCCTAAGTTGTTCCGGTATTGGGATGGTCCATGGCAAGTTTCTGTAGTTCATTCCCCCCTGGTTTATACCATTAAGCGGCTTGGTGTCCATTCAGCCCGCCGCACCACCGTTATGACCGTCCACAGGAATAGATTAAAGCGTATTTTTGGACCCGTAAACCTTCCCCCTGTGGACGCCCCGGTTAACCCACCTCCAGCTCCCATAATGGCGGGAGTCACCATTCCCCGCCTGCCCTCGTCGTTCACACCCTTATTCTGAGACCTCCAGCTGAGTGTTCGTCCTCACTGTCGCAGTTTCCCTCAGTCATTTTTTTTTTTTTTTTTTTTTTTAAGTAATCTCCAGCCGAGTGTTCGTCCTCGCTGTCGAAGTCCCCTCCGTCATCTTAAGTTTTAATCTCCAGCCGAGCGTTCGTCCTCGCTGTCGAGTTTGACCTGTGGATGTTGGTGTGTCTGCTGTGGTGTCCGGTGTGGCGTGTTTGTTTTTCTCTCTGTTGGTTTCGGTTGCGCGTGGTGTGCAGGACCATCACCCTGCAACTCGACCAACCCCCTCCTTCATCGCATCACCACCGACATCACTACCAGCAACACCTTCAACAACAAATACAACATCAACTACTACCACCACACCCTTCCCATCACACAACACCACCACGCCCACTAATGCCACCGGAGGATGCTCGACGGACAATTGAGCGACGCCGCCGTACACGCCAAACCCGCCGTTGTCGCACCCCCGCTTTCATCGCCAGGTCTCGGCGACGGGCCGCAGCTCGCCTTCAACAGCGGGCCCGACCCCGGGCGATACCACCCCCACCGACCACACCCCCACCGACCACACCTCCACCACCACCGCCACCGTCGAACCCGTCTGGCCGGTTCGATCGCTTTAACCAGGATTCAGAACTGGTTTCAGAGGCCGACTGGTCCGATGAAGAGTACAACCCTTGACTGTGTTTCCCCTCCTATTTTCCCTGTGTGGTAATATTTGTTCTTCATACACGTTTGCTATGTCGAGAGGTTTTGCATCCTCGACGCCCTTTCCCCCTTTCCATCCGTGTTGAGCTGCTTTAGAAATCCTCCACGCCCCTTCCCATTTGTGTCGAGATGTTTTGAATCCTCGACGCCCCTTCCTCCTTTCCATCCGTGTCGAGTTGTTTTGAATCCTCCACGCCCTTTTCCCTCTTTCCCCCTCTAAATATTTTCACGCCAACTGACCCTATCAATTCCAACTGTCACGGTTTATATTTTTTTTTCATTCAGACTTTGCGATTTCCCAACTTCCAAAGTTCCCTCTATTTACCCTTCCCACAATCATTTAATTAAGCCCCTTTGCTTTTCATCTCCAGCTGAGTGTTCGTCCTCGCTGTGGAGTTTAGCCCCTTCCCAAGTGAGAGGAATCATCACTCCCCTAGCTTCCTTCTCTCACCTTTGGCCCCTTTGTTTCCACGCCTCCAGCTGAGTGTTCGTCCTCGCTGTTGAGTTCCCCCAACAGCTTTTGCATTCTTGTTGGGTGCTTGTGGTTGTGTTTTGTTTTGTGTTCGTTCTGAGTTGTGCGACTCCTGATCTTCTCTCTACATCTCTTTCTGTCATTCACTTGCCTTACACGTGTTCTGTTTGTACATGCGGGTGTCTGCGGAATGCGTGCATGTCAGACTCGTATGTGCGTAGTGGTTTACATGTCCGTATATGTGTGCTCGTTAAAAAGCATGCCTCATTTGTAGTATTATCAATTTTTCGTTCCTAGATCGTGGGGACACGATTTTTGTTCCCCACGGGGGGAGGTAATGTTATACGCACACCCATATTTGGATCCCGACCCCGGCATGATTCCATTACCCCTAGCCCTGCATGCAGTAATTCGTACACATTCCATTACCCCCTACCCCTACCCTTGCATGCAGTAATTCATACGCACTCCACTACCCCCTACCCCTACCCCTGCATGCTGTAGTTCATACGCACTCCATTACCCCCTACCCCTAGCCCTGCATGCAGTAATTCGTACACATTCCATTACCCCCTACCCCTGCATGCAGTAGTTCATACGCATTCCATTACCCCCTACCCCTGGCCCTGCATGCATTAGTTTGTACACACTTCATAACCATATTTGACCCATTATCCCCTACCCCTATCCCTAGCCTTGCATGCAGTAGTTCGTACGTACACACTTATAACCATATTTGACCCATTTCCCCGCTGCCCCTGCATGTTATAATTAATACCGTACACATTTGTAGCCCGTTTTCCCCCCTTCTGCCCCTGCACATAAAACCCACCGTACATTTGATCTAATTACATCCCTTTATAGTGTACATAGTCGGGCTATACACATAATATACGCGCCCAGCTAAATGGGCGCGCTCATGCATTGTACCGTACATTCTATTCTAGTTCACTCTAAGATAACCAAACTTCGATAATCTAGTCAGAAGCCGAATCCACTCCCTAATGTTGATGTCGAATAATTCTGTCCTCGTCGTGAGATAATATATACTTTACCAACTCTCATAAACGGGTATCTCTGATTGTCTGGTGTGTGAATTGACAACAAGTCCATGGTTGGATGTGTTTCCTGGTAATGGTTACCATGGTTACTAACCTGACAAGGACTGTAAATTAGCGTCAGCTTCCTCTCCATGTCTAATATTGACGGAATGGAACAGATCGGCTGGACGTCAGGTATGGGACACTAGATTGCCGTTGATGATTCTAAACCACATTCTTCGTTTGGGTGCGAGAGTGGCAGCCAACGGCCATGTTCTAACTGCAACTCTTCACTTGATCCTGGTAAACACTGACTGAACGCTGTACTCCAGTACCCACAGGTATTTCTACGGGTTAAAAACCTTTCAGCTTACGGCCCCAGTCTTGCCCATAGCGCTAATCAAGTCTTTGGCGATTTCTGTGGGGACTAGCGGTGTTATCTTAGGCAGGAAGCTGTGTGCACAGTGTGTGTGGTTGATGGAGGCATGGGCTGGCAGTGCAGTGTTAGCGCAGAATGTGTGGCTTGTGTGGGCAGGGTGGTATGAGCAATGTGTGTGGATGTTGGAGGCAGGAGGCTATAGGCTAGAGCTAGCAGTGTGATAACAGTGGGCAGGGTGTTATGAGCAAGGTGTGTGAACGTGAATGCTTTGGACATGCCGAAACGGTTTATTTTTTAAAGCAATTGACTGTGCCTGTGCCCTGGTGACCATAGCTGACAATGCTTGCACTACCCATGTGTCTGCAGTAGATCTATGGAGGTGATGCCCTGGGTTTGACGGGGGAGGGGGTAGTCTCGCTTGTACACCCGATCAATTAACAAAACGACTGTACGTGCGAGTCGGTCAAGCCCTGCAGTACAACTACATTGCATATGCACATCGATACCTAAAACATGAAACATACATTCTACACTTTGCAAAACATAGCTATGTGTCTGACTAGTGGTTGTCTAAAGTCAGCTGTAGCTGTCACACTCTTCTAAGCCTGTTCAACCTGCATGATTTGGATTGTGTAAAGCCAAGGGACTACAGCCGACATGGAACACACTCTGACATGCGCAAAAGGTTTTTTTAAGAACAGCAACTCAAACACGGGCAAGTATGGTCGGCAAAGAGCACAATGGTGATGGTGATATAGTCAACGTAGAAATCCAACACTACTGGGATGATGCTTGTGTGCAGCAAGTGTTAAAATTAAGCTCATATCAGTCTTGAAAGAAACCTGTCGAAGAGAATATCAATACAATAAACATGCATGTATTCTGAAAAAAGAACAGAACAAAGTGAAATGTACATGTACATGCACTGATTCAGATGTTGTCATGATCATGATTTGTGCAGTATCTGCGTGCAACACTCTTACCTTCTGATATTCCGGTCAGATGAACCGTATGCTGTACTTCCGGTATTCCGGTCAGATGAACCGTATGCTGTACTTCCGGTATTCCGGTCAGATGAACCGTATGCTGTACTTCCGGTATTCCGGTCAGATGAACCGCATGCTGTACTTCCGGTATTCCGGTCAGATGATCCGTATGCTGTACTTCCGGTATTCCGGTCAGATGAACCGTATGCTGTACTTCCGGTATTCCGGTCAGATGAACCGTATGCTGTACTACGGGTATTCCGGGCAGATGAACCGTATGCTCTACTTCCGGTATTCCGGTCAGATGAACCGTATGCTCTACTTCCGGTATTCCGGTCAGATGAACCGTATGCTGTACTTCCGGTATTCCGGTCAGATGAACCGTATGCTGTACTTCCGGTATGTGGTGTCAGACAGAGTTTATTCACGACTAGCAAGGAGGACAACAAACGAAGAACAACATTCCAAGCAGTGTGCGAACACAAAAGGGAAGTGTGTACGAACACCAAGGAAAGTGTGTACGAGCGCATATGGAAGCAGGAGCTCTAGGCGGGTGCATACGGGGTGCGGGAGTTGCACCATATACGGAAGTATGCCATATACATCATGCCCCTCCTAAGATAAAAACGTACAAGTGTTTATCTAATCAACAAAAAAATAATGTGAAAATTGCATGTGCGTAGCAAATGACATGTCGCGGAGCAGCAGCAACTTCCAACAGACTTGTAAAAGGGATAATTGCAAAAATTATATACATGAAGGTTTTCAACTGCGAAACAATGGGAATGACAATTGAATAGGTACAATGGACATCAACAACTGAACAGAGCGAATGTTAATTGTACGATTGTCCACGCGTTGAAATAATGTTAAAGGGGACATTCTGTCGCCGGGGACGTTGGCTTGTTCGAGGTGGTACCTGAACAGTTGACTGTGGCGACGACTGAGTCACAGGGACTGCTTGTGGTGCAACGTCGGGTACGGGAGACGATACAGGCATGGCTGTTGAAGCTGGAGTAGGAGGACGGTACGGGCGGAGGTAGCGACGGTTGCGCCAATATACGCGTCCACTCGGTAGCTTGACGTAGTAGTCGCGGTTGTCACCGATAGCCACGACAACGCCGCGGGAAGACCACCATTTTGTCTTCGGGTGCTGAATGTCAACGTGAGACGAGTGGGCGACCATACAGTAACTGGGCAGGACTCTTTCCCGAAGTGCCAGGAGTATTGCGCCACTCGAGAAGGCCACGCTGGAAAGCATCGGTGTCTAGATTACCATCATTGGTAGTCTTTTCCACCAGGTACTTCATTGCCTTCACGGCTGCCTCCGCATGTCCGTTCGACTGCGGGTAGTGAGGGGACGACTTGATATGACGGATTCCCCAGCGCTCGCAAAATTCAGCAAATCTGTGAGACGCAAACTGAGGACCGCCGTCCGTTGAAATGACCTGTGGTACGCATACATCTGGGAACCACCTGCGGAAATGACGAATGACGTCAGCTGATGTGGCTGAGTGACCAAGCTTGGCTATGCATGGCCATCCGGTTAAGCGGTCGACGAATACCAAAATTAATACTCGCAACCTTAGCAACTGAAAAGGTCAGCATTAACACTTTCGAATGGCAAAGTGGGCTTGCGGTCAGAAATGGGCGGTTCGGCAGACTGAGACGGCTGAAATTCACGGCATGCATCACAGCTGCGGACTAGCGTGTCTAACTCACTGTTCATTCCGGGCCAATACACTGTCTGACGAGCACGTCGTTTGGTACGGGTCAGACCTTGGTGGGCTGCGTGAAGGTCGATCAGCGTTGACGCATGCAGAGAGGCTGGGACGACTATGCGTAGACCTTTCAGGACTATGCCATTGTCGGTGGACAAATGTTCACGCACGTTCCAATACGCACGAAGAGGCTCGGGCAGCTGCTTTTGTGCTGAGGGAAATCCGTTCTGGATATACCGGAGTAGCATCTGGTAGTCAGGATCAGATGCTGCTGCGGCACGGAGCTTAGCGAACTGGAGACTCTGGGGACCATCTTGGAGTAGACAGATACGGATACTGCGGCAGGACAGTGCTGGATCTTCTCCAAGTTCATCA